AACGCTTCGCCTGCGAGGAGTGACCCGCCAGAGGCGGCCTGGGGGTTTCTGCCGTTTGCAGATGGGGTTTCTTCCGTCAGCAGGCGGCAAATAGATCCTCGCTCATCGATCTCGTTCGCTGAGGTTTTATTGGGATTTCAGCTGCGGCTCAGTATGCAGAAATTAAAAAAAAAATTACGAAGGTGACTTGCCCTGAGGGCAGCTATTCCGTGCACGATACATCACTGCATTTGCTCCCCACGTCCCCATTAGCAAATGCAAAAGCTTGATTATACCTGAAGAATGTTTTCCTGAGACTCGGTTGTTCTAGCACCTACCTTTTGTGGAATCATCATTTTTTGAGTCAGATCAGTTGGATAATAGTTTGGGTTGGGCAGCATGAAGTACCCTCGCTACCTGCCCGCTGCCCTCTTTCAAGAAGGGATTCCCAGCTTGTCCTAGGACAAATTTCTTGCAGAGTGCATGGTAGAGTGCTGAGGGAGGGCACTGAATGCACCCGTGTCAGTACATCCGATGAGACTATGAATTAGTTCACAGATGAATTAGTAGTTTTGAGTCACGTAGTTGCTTTACAGAAGTGAGAATTGAAGAATGGTAAGGAATCTTTGTTTTGGTTTTATTTTTATTTCAGAATTTCTAATGCTTTGCTTCATTTCTTCGTGCTGACTGTTACTTTGTACCTGGCAAAATGGTTAGATCCTCTTCACGCTGACATACTGTTGCTGACGTACATCAGCATAAAGACCGTTATCGATTGTTAGTGGACTTCATGAAAACAACATATTGATCATACAGCAGCTTTCTCTGTAGGATTCATTCTGGGTTTTGTGTAATTGGCATCAGTATCCACTATATTACACTTCAAACAGGAAGAAAACAAAGTTCTTAAACATTTATTGCATGTCCTGTGCTGCTTGCCTGAATACTATTACTATTAAGATCATGTACTCTTCTTATCTGTAACCTTTTAACTTGAAATGGAAATTTATTCTTCACTGTGGGTGACTGACATTGCTTTATTGTCTTGTGCTCGTTAATTTTTCTATAAATAGTAATTCTTTCTTAAAAGAACTGAACGAACTGGCTTTCGTACAGTTGAGAACTAAATTTGCATATTTTAGATATGGTTAATATCATCATAATGTGTGGTATTATAGTTACCACCCCAAATAGAATATTTTATTT